AAAATGTTGGCGAGTCCAATTTTTTGTGTTGGCAATTACAGTTCAATTTTATTTTTTTAATTTTTACTTATTTCATTTTCACACACCTGGGTAGCCCAACTCAGCTTTGACAAGTTGATTTTCAGTGGGGCCCAGTTTACAGAAATAATAAAACATAAGTTAATACTTAAACAGAAGTAACAGAGAATTGTATGTAAAACATAAATAACTCAGGTAACCAAATTATACAAAATAAATACATGGGATTACTTAGAATCTCAAACAAAACCATAGAGAACAAATCAAAATCGTTGTCCGTTACTCAAAAGTCATTGATCGGTCAAGGTCGGTTATTCATGTGGAGGTCAGAGGTCATATGTCAGACTGTAAAGATTGTATGTTCTTAAGAGCTGCTTTAAAACCTTTCAATGAAGTCTGTTGCATGATATTTTGTGGAAGTGAGTTATAACAGTGTACCCCACGGAATGGGGATGAGTGTTGCCCTGCAGTGGTTTTGAAGAAAGGTAAGTACAGTTTAGACGTCTGCCTGGTATTGTGGTGGTGAAAATTGTAGTTAATAAGTTCACAATGTATCTAAAGACCCTGTCCAGTGTATACTAGTAAGTGGCGTAAGTGCCATAGCCAGATGTGAAAAACTGAACTGAGAAATGTTGATAATGTTGAGTACTAAACAGTAAACTCACAGAGGTTGAAAATATATACTAGTACACGAATACATACATACATAAGATTAATAGCTGCTATATTTTTGACCTATTGTATGATTCTTCTATTGTTTGACAACAAAAAGATATCCAAGGCTGCTGTACATGTATCGTCCTTGACACACTAGTAGTACATGTATCCAAGGTAATTTGATTTGTTTGAACTAAATTAAATAGTAAAGACACAAGGCTACCCATTGTTGTTCAAGCAGGCATGCTGAAATCTTTGATCCAATTACAGAACAGTTCTTGCGAAGATAACAGATTTTTGTGGTTGGATGGGCATTGGTGTAAAGAGACAGCTGTTAAGTTCCAACCATTTGTGTACAAGTTAACCCGAGGCCAAAATAACTGCCAAAATAACTCAGATAATTATAACGGCTGGTTACTGAGCCTGAAGGGATAGACCTTGTACAAACCCAGACAACAAGGTCAAATAGATCAGTCGTTATTTCACTTGATGTCACTCGAGTGGGATAATTGTGTTTGCTATTTTTGGTGAGCAGATTAGATTTAATTACACTATTTACTCATTCAATTTGAAAACTACCAACTGTCAACCACCTTGTTAAAACTCTAGGGGAAAGGCATCTATTAGTAAGACTGAAATGAGTTTGCAAAACCAACTACCTAGCTAGCAAGCTAACTAGTTTGGCAAGCTTTATTGATTGATAACATAAATTGGGAGTTGTCCAGGGGACAATTAAGTTAAAGGGTTCAAGACAAAATAGCAGATACATGTATGAGGATGTACTTTTTCCAGGGGAATCTATAAAAGACTGTTTCAGTTATCTTTTCAAATCTAGAGTTAGCACTGGTAGCAAAAGAGCAAAGTTCTCACAGTTGTCATGTGGATTTGATGAGTAAAGTTCAACTTAATACAGAGCAGTGGTACAAAAAAGTGGCGATATTACATCAACTTGTTACACCTAAAACCCTTGAACTTCTAACTCTAGACATTGTTTAAAGCTTAGTCTCATGACAATGCCCCTACTGTACTTGGTGACAGTGAGTTCCACTCTGCGATAGTCTGTCTTCCAGTGACACCCACTGTAGGTTTCTTTTCATTTCCGTGACACTAGACTAGCACCTCTTTCATAGTTGTTCATACACTAAATTGACTAATGACATTATCTGTTGTTTATGTCCAGGTTATCAATGGCCTGATGGACCGTCCTGACTGGGAAGAGGCCATCAAGATACCCATCGGCCTGATCCCGGGGGGAACTGGCAATGCCCTCTGCTGCTCTGTCAACTATCTACTGGAGTAAGTAAAAAGTACTAGTACATCATTCGAATCGAGGCATAGAATGTTTTTGAACTGAACTGCTTACAAACAGGGAAAGATAACCCAACAATGCTTGCGCTGTCGGTAACATCAGTTGCCACAAGTCACGAAGTCACAGGGATTCGTTCATAGGACAACTAGAAATGATGAAATAAGACAAAATTGCCTCAGAAACATCCAGAAGATGATCGCGAGCTGTAAGAGAAACAAGCTTTATTGTGACAGATTTGTGTCTCTCAGAGACGATCATTTTTAGATTGACATTTTTGTGATTCTTTACTTTTCCCACTTGTTAATAACGCATGCCCTGTTGTTGTTTTTGCAGTGAGCCGTTTGAGTCGGCTGACCAGGTCCTCCACTCCACGTTTGTCCTGTGTAAAAGCGTGGTTTCCGGCAGCAGCTACCCCATGGACCTGGTCTCGGTACAGACCAAATCCTCCCGCATATTCTCCTTCTTACATATCAGCTGGGGATTCATCTCCGATATCGACATCGGGAGTGAGAAATATCGCTACCTTGGTGACGCACGCTTTATCGTCGGACTGATGCAGCGGTTGTTCGACTTGCGGAAGTACCCCGGGCACGTGTCGTACCTACCCGTGAAGGGGGTGGACGGAAGAGCGTTGGTTCACCAGATCACGGAGAAGAGGAAGCAGCGAGAGAAGCTCAAGCAGTCTCTCCCTCGTCCCCGCAGCCTGTCCAAGCAAAACGGGGAGCGGGAAGACTTGAGAAGCATGCGTCCGGCGCAGTTTACCCGCAGCGTTAGCATGATGGAGGGTTCCCTTCCCAGAAACCTTCCTCCGAGAAGCGCCAGTGTCAGTCAGAGCTACTACTCCAATCTGGAGCCGCTAACCCCCGGCGTAGATGCCGCCAAAGAAGCGGCTCTGTTCAACGAGCAGACGGATTCTGGTGTACCTACCTCAGAAAGGATGGAAGAGAACATGGCCAACGGGCACGCCACAGTAGCCGACATTCAAGCCAGCGATTGGACAGAAGATGAAACGCAAGCGAGCGAAGTTTTCTCACCTTATGTTAATTCCCCAAATGCTCTGGTCAGCAATACAAATAGCCACAGGCCACAGCAACACGACCATTCCAACAACAGCGCTGCCAATAGCCAATCAGGCGATAGCATGGACTCTGCAATAGACGTGTCTGCCATGGATCTGTCCACGGACATTCCCACGCAGGCCACACTGCCAAACCCGGACAGCCAGACCCGGCGTCACGGCCCCTCGGACACCCTCCTGCCGCCCTTAGGACACCCCCTCCCGGATGGCTGGGTCACGATAGAGGGAAACTTTAATCTGGTGATGGGTCTGAATGTGCCTCACATCAGTACAGGCTTCAACATGTCCCCAGCAAGTAATCTGGACGACGGCATGATGTTCCTGATGTACGCCATGAACACCACGCGCAGCGAGATGTCCAACATCTCCCTCAAGGCGTCGCAGGGCAGGATCGGCGAGGTGGACCAGCCGGGAACGGACGTCGTGGCCGTCCACGCGTTCAGGCTGGAGCCGCGGGCGGAGAAGGGTCTGATCACAGCCGACGGTGAGGTCATCGAGTACGGGCCGCTGCAGGCACAAGTACATCATGCTCTAGCTCGGGTACTCATGTGGAAGCCAATAGAGATGTGACACAAAATCTTATTTGGCAGCTAGGCCACAGGAAGTAAATTTTATGGATGACATCCTCTGCAAACTCTAATGCAATGTGGCAAAAAGAAAGGCATTTTCAAATTTTGACATCATAAACCTTGAATGATATGAGAAGAAATACTACCTGTTTACTGTCAACTATTACAATATCCATTTGTCACTGAAACAACTTTGAAAAATGATAGTTTTCAATCATTGTACATGTACAAATGGGTTTGATTCAGTGGGAACATATAAAAGGAATGGAATACATCACTGCATCAGAGCCTTGTCTTCATATTTAATATCTAATTTCCAGCATGGCAACAGACGTCTTTGCCCAATTTTGGCAAAAATCGAAGTGCGCGCTGATGTCATGCATAAAAATTACTTGCTGTGGCCTCAGTAAAATATTCGTCAATCAGTGACTGTTTTGAAAGGTAGCAAACACATACCGGTATCCACTGTATGCATTGATCTCACGAGACCATTGATTGATGAATATTGTACCAACTGTTAGTCTATACGTGACTGATTCTCTTCAACAAAATCTTATTTGTTCCTATAGTACAATGTTGAAGTTTATTCCAACACAAGGGTACTCAAAAATCAAATTTTCAACAACCACTGTCGCCATCATCAGTGTATATATTGTCATGTACTATGATTACTCCCAACACAGATGAACTTCTATGATTTTGTTCTCCTAGATGCAATGACATATCTTGAACACAGTAATGTTTTTACATATTTTGAAATTGTTGCTTATCTATGCATATGATTATTTTCCTTTTAAAATTCTTTATGACTTCTTGTCACTATAATATTTTTCTCAGGTGAACATATCAAAATACAATATATTTGAATTATTCCAAGATAAATATATATGATTATATAATTGAATTATTTTTGCTATTCAATGACAGGTAACACTGCGAAATGTTTTAATCAAGGAAATAGTCCTGAAATATGCTATGCAACATTAGCTAGAAATTTGTTTTTTGAGAACAGCACAGTTTAGATGTGACCACAGTGATACCTGTTTAATCCTTCCATATCAGAACTGTTTGCTGTAAAGTACAGGTTTTTGTTTTGTCCTATACATAAGTTGTGAACTTGGCCAGTGTTTAACATTTTCCAGTATGTTGTAAGTTTATTTCCTCCTGATTATATGCTGCTGGGACTATAATGTACTATTGTTGTACTGTAATCGTTTTGTTCTGTCTCTGTACCAGTACATATCAGGGACTTACAGGGACAAAGCCACAGAATGTCCTGATTATACACATGTAGAGTAGTACATGTATGTGTCTGTTGTTACTGCCTACATCAGGCCACACCAATTTAATTTGTTGGTTCTCGGAAAAAATATGAAGCGACAGGGCGGAAAAAAATTAAAACAAAAACAGGTCTTAAGGCCTATTATAGCCTCAAATGCTATGATGAAGTCAACACAAAAGGCTGGGTTAATATTAAAACAATGAATCTTGAACTTTTAATGAAACCACTGCATTGATAGATGGTAAAACTGAAACAACTAGGAAGAAAAGGACTTTCTTCAACTGCTGGGAGCACAATATGAGCATATTTGAGTTGATTCAGAACCAGAATTCTTTTTTTTTTTTGCATATCAGAAAGAGAAGAGAAAGAGAAGAGGCGAATCCGAAATCTAACAAATTAACTTGGTGTGGCCTCAAGCTGGGACCAAAGTGGTTATGCTCAACAGAATTTCGAAAATACATATCATAACTTGGGTATAAAGTTGGGATTGTTTGAACAGTTTGACTGATAGTCATCAATGAGGTACCGGCTTCTGCTACAGATGTGTTGTACAGTGGCATTATTGTTAGATAGACATATCCTGTACTGTTTTAGACAAACATATCTTGTAAGTAACACAGTGTGATTTCAAAGACCAGAGTAAGACACAAACCCTGTTGTTCTATACCTATCATGCAAAGTAGGTATTATTGATTTAAAAAGAAAATGTTTGGTTTGTATCATGTGCCTTGAAGGTTTGTGATTTTGATGTTATTGCTGCTGTGTGGCATATTATAGAATGAACTTTTGATAATGTTTGTGTTTGAGTAGAAAAGACGTTTCTAGAGAAATGTAACATGTTTTCTTGTCTCTCATAGCTGACATAGAAGACACAAATAGAAGAATAGAAAATATATTTGTTTGCTTTGCAGATAATATTGTAAAACTCACTGAATGTACCAGTCCAGAGATTTTGGAAAGGTTCTAGCTTTCTGTGAATATATACATGTACATGTAGCATGACTTGTTTGAATTTTTGTCATTGTTGTTATTACCTCTGGGGAAGGAGACATCCTTCCGCGGAAGGGTATTAGAACGGTTTGGGATTTTCATGTTCTGCCGGTCTGCCTATTTACCAGAAAACACCGGAAAGCACCGGAAAACACATATAGGAGGATTAAATCTACCGGAATACACGCTGCATTGATGAGATAACCCCCCAAATTGATGTATTTTGGCATAACTTATATGCAGCACAGGGAACAAGGAATCACGAAATAATGAACCTGCAATCGGCGGAGGCAACCCGGCCAGTCGCCATGTTTATATACATGTCGTAACGCATTATGTTTGTTTAGCGCGATCACAGAAGAGCAGTGAAATGTACTTAGATTAAGATTTATTCTAGACTTATACATCCCAATTTGCTGTATTTTGACCATAACATACGTGGCCCAGGGAACAAGAAATCACTACAAAACGCGGCCATGTTTGTTTACATATCGTATGGCCGGGTTGCCTCCGCTGATTTTTGGTATGCAGGTAGCTTTCATGATGCTTAATATGTGACAATTATGCAAATATGGATGTAATTTGCATAATTTATGGGGAAATTCTATAAATCAGCTGCATTCCATCATAGGACTATTGAAGCTTGTGACATCGGCAATTCAGAACGAGATAAACACAGGCAGATATCGATTATGTAAATGAAGACTTGATTTGCATAATTAATGAAAAAATGTTATAATTCTGTAATGATAACTGCCTGGAATTTCATACTTGTTTGTTAATACAAGACTGTCTTTTGGTTGAGAATATGATAAATTGATATAATTCATGAATTCTATTTGCACAATCAGGGGGAATAATCTACAAATTGTCAGTCATAAAGATTAACATTATTTGGCAAAGGTATGAGGTCGGGGAACTCTAGTTACCATATGAATGTATATTCAATGTAAACCAAGCAGATGCATGGTGGAAGGCAAAATCGTAACAGCTTGGGGATTGCCATAGTTATACGCCTGGCAGAGGCTCTGTTTCCACTCATATGATATTGAGATCGACACTGAAAAAAAACACAAATTGATTTCCTTCGTATATTGCAGTCGGTGTATTAATATTCAGTTTGTAGTCATGAAGGTTCAAACTGAAGCTATCCCTGTCCTTGGTGCTGAAAGCTATCCCCACACAATGCCCCCCTCCCCCGTTCGTAAGAATATTACGTGGTTGCCGAGCATTTTTACCTCCCCTAGCCTCATAAATCGGCTCCTTTTCTTTGTAGAGGCAGTTCTTACGACTCAGTAGCTTATCTGGGGGAAAATAATTGCCTAAAATAGTCCCGTTCGTCCGAAAATCCATGGTAACTTCAGTTGTTTACATGAAAAGTGAAGCGGCTTTATAGCTTTGAGTATGTTGTCCATATTTGGTCAAAGAGGTAGACGTCATAATTGTTTCTCTTTACTATCCAATCAGACTCGACGACTCAAAAACGTAGACATTATGAGAACCAATCAGCATCAAGGATACATCGGTTTATGACCCTCTGCGCCATGTATAAAAAGCGACTTCTAGCAGTCGGTAAAATTATTGCACGTAAAAAATCTCCTCAAGTACCTGCAATAATTCCGCGAACTGCTAGAGGCCCTCATTGCTACGTGTGATGAATTGATCATGATATTATGGCGGCTGTGGCTGCATCACAGTTTCCAATTACTAGTAACTAAAACGGGAGGGAGTAAACTTTCGCCAGGGATGGAAACATCAGGTATGAATTATTACACTTCTAGAAAGGGTTTGGTGGAAAAACTGGAACGTAAAGTTTATGCGTTTTATTGATGTATGTTTAATTTTTCGTTACCAAACATATTTTCCTTGATTTTGTTCTTACTATCAGTTCTAACCGTCCAGAAAACAACTAGACGTGAAGAATGGATCATATAGAAAATATTGCAACAGCTAGGTCTGTAATTTCTTGCGTTATTTTTTACTTTAAACGCCAAAGTTTACACCCATTTCTGCCTATATTTAACCCAGCATATCTACACAGTTCGCCTGGAGGATTGCGTAACTACATTGAATGACGTAATGCGGCACCTGGACTTAATGTTGCATATTTTTGAGCCTCGTTATAAGACGAAATCCGCTGTGTTGATTGGTCCTCCTTTATATAATTGAATCAATGCTCAGCTAAAGCCTATCGGACGTTTCGGTTATATTCGGCTATATTTTGTAACTTTGTGATCTTATCGTTGATACTATGATATGGGAAGAATTGGATTTTCAGTTTAACAATCGTCGATAAAGAGAAATAAACACTCAAAGATCGAAGTACACAAATGAAATATTTCATATCTACATGCATTTTGCGTGAAATTTACTCTTGTTGTACCGAGTTATTTTTGACGTATTGGAATCCCTAAAGGCAATTGTCGCAATAACTGTAATGTCATATACTACTAGCTAGAAAATGTTCCTATCGCAATCAGAAGTTAAATGGGTAAAAGAATATTATTTAACGTTATAGGAAAATTACTAACGTGTGTTTTCCTCGAGGCCTCTGGATGAGGATAAAAAATTGAGAATTGCGAATTCGTAAGATTAAAGCCATAATTAAGACATCTTATTTTTCTGGCCTGCATGTGTGGTGATTTCCTATTGGCCTATCATTAATCTATATGTTAACTTGATTATCGAATGCTAATTTTGCTCGTGATTTACAGGTGGCACAGCACCTGTGCGTGAAACACGCCTTCCTTTCCAAGATGGCGAGCGAGTGTGCATGGACGGGAAGAACGAGCTGGGTAAAAATTCCGCCCAGGAAGACGCGCCATGTCCGCTTTGGTGGTAAGTTGTACTTTAAATCGTCGTAGATACTCTCTTGACTATTGTAGGTAAATTTCCTCTGAGGTGAATGAAGCAAAAAGACAG